CAGCATCAGCCTGCTTCAGCCTCAGCCTCAGCCTGCCTCAGCCTCCGCCTCAGCCTGCTTCAACCTCAGCCTCAGTCTGCCTTCAGCCTCGGCCTCAGCCTCAGCCTGCCTCAGCCTCAGCCTGCATCAGCCTCAGCCTCAGCCTCAGCCTGCCTCACCATCAGCCTGCCTCAGCCTCAGCCTCAGCCTGCCTCAGCCTCAGCCTCAGCCTGCTTCAGCCTCAGCCTCAGTCTGCCTTCAGCCTCGGCCTCAGCCTCAGCCTGCCTCAGCCTCAGACTGCATCAGCCTCAGCCTCAGCCTCAGCCTGCCTCAGCATCAGCCTGCCTCAGCCTCAGCCTCAGCCTGCCTCAGCCTCAGCCTCAGCCTGCTTCAGCCTCAGCATCAGTCTGCCTGCAGCCTCGGCCTCAGCCTCCGCCTGCCTCAGCCTCGGCCTGCATCAGCCTCAGCCCCCGCCAGCCTCATGCCTGCTCAGCCTGTCATAGTGGGATTGATGCATCGGGTGGCATGCTGGGTACGGTTAGTTCTCAGTTGGCGCTGTGGCCTATTTCATATGCGCGGTTCTGGTGAGCATAACTCTGGAGCACCCCCCAGGCATCAGCCTCAGCCTCAGCCTCAGCCTGCCTCAGCATCAGCCTGCCTCAGCCGCAGCCTCAGCCTGCCTCTGCCTCAGCCTCAGCCTCAATCTGCCTACAGCCACGGCTTCAGTCTCAGCCTGCCTCTGCCTCAGCCTGCATCAGCCTCAGCCTCAGCCTGCCTCAGCCTCAGCCTGCCTCAGCCTCAGCCTCAGCCTCAGCCTGCCTCAGCCTCAGCCTCAGCCTGCTTCAGCCTCAGCCTCAGTCTGCCTTCAGCCTCGGCGTCAGCCTCAGGCTGCCTCAGCCTCAGCCTGCATCAGCCTCAGCCTCAGCCTCAGCCTGCCTCAGCATCAGCATGCCTCAGCCTCAGCCTCAGCCTGCCTCAGCCTCAGCCTCAGCCTCGGCCTGCTTCAGCCTCAGCCTCAATCTGCCTTCAGCCTCGGCTTCAGTCTCAGCCTGCCTCAGCCTCAGCCTGCATCAGCCTCAGCTTCAGCCTCAGCCTGCCTCAGCCTCAGCCTGCATCAGCCTCAGCCTGCTTCAGCCTCAGCCTCAGCCTGCATCAGCCTCAGCCTGAGTCTGCCTTCAACTTCGGCCTCAGCCTCAGCCTGCCTCAGCCTGCCTCAGCCTCAGCATCAGCCTGCCTCAGCATTCAAAATGTGGCCAGGGAATGGAATTCTGGGAACTCGAAGAACACGAAGTGGCCTACAGTTTGCTCCGGGCATTCAAAATCATACCCAGGAGTGGAGTTCTGGGAAGTCCAAGAGCACGAAGTGGCCTACAGTTGGCTCCGGGCATCCAAAATGTGGCCCGGGAATGGAGTTCTGGGAACTCGAAGACCACGAAGTGGCCTACCGTTGGCTCCAGGCATCCAAAATATCCAAGGAATCCGAATGGAGTTCCGGAAGTTCATAAGCCACGAAGGGCCTCACAGTTGGCTCCAGGGCATCCAAAATGTGGCACGGGAAGGAATGGAGTTTCTGGGAAATCGAAGAGCACGAAGTGGCCTACAGTTGGCGCGGGCATTCAAAAGTGGCACGGGAATGAAGTTCTGGGAAAAGGACGAGCACGAAGTGGCCTACAGTTGGCTCCGGGCATCCAAAATGTGCCCGGGAATGGCAGTTCTGGGAAACGAAGAGCACGAAGTAAACGAAGAGCACGAAGTGGGCACGAAGTGTGTGACTGTATGCGAAAAACGATCCCCGCCGGCAAACCCCAACAGCCCCCCCACTGCCACCCAACTGCCCCCAACGGCTGCCCAGACCCCCCTGTGGAGTAATGTTGAAGTAATGTTGAAGTAATGTGCTGCTCTCTTTTTAGCCCATTAGAAACCTATCAGTCTTCGCTGTTAGGTACAAACCCTTTGCTGATCCCCCCCTGGCGCCCAGCCCCCAAGAGCTGCCAGCACATCGGGGCGCGGGGTCTCCGCCACCGGCCACGCGCGGAGCAAGTCGGGAGGCCTCGGAGGTCCTGCGTGGCGTGGCGGCCACCAGGCACCGACCCCGCGGAGACCTCCACGGCCCGAGAGGGCGCCGCTTCCCCTCTGGAGGAGGAGGAGGAGGAGGGAGGAGGAGGAGGAGGAGGAGGAGGAGGAGGAGGAGAGGAGGAGGAGAGGAGGAGGAGGAGGAGGAGGAAGAGGGAGGAGGAGGAAGAGGAGGCAGGGAGGAAGAGGAGGAGGAGGAGGGAGGATGAGGAGGAGGAGGAGGAGGAGGAGGAGGAGGCAGGAGGAGGGAGGAGGAGAAGGAGGAGGCAGGAGGAGGGAGGAGGAGGAGGAGGAGGAGGAGGAGGAGGAGGAGGAGGCCCTCCGCCTCTGCGGCCGCCCTCTCTCTCCGCCTCGGGGAGGAGGTGCCTGCTAAGGCGCGTGGCGCTGTTCAGGAGTCGGACAACTCAGATGAATACGGTGGGGGCCATGTCAAGAAACACCCTGCTTGCCTGCAGGGTGCCCTGGGTTTCTTGGGTTTCAGTGGTTTTGCTGCGGACGTTCCCACCAAAAACCAAAGGACGTCCTGGGGTACCAGGGTTGGGCTTCTTGTGGAAGGTTTCTTGTGGTCGGGCCCCTAGTGTATGTTGTCATCTTCCCCTTGCCGCCTGATTTTGGCGGGGCGATTCCAGCTTCGGCTGGACAGCGATGCGGTCACCTGCCTTTTTGCATCGCTGAGGCTCTGGTAGGGAGGGCGCCGAGTCCAAGAAACAACTCCTCTGCGTTGTCCTCCTTCTCTTGCGTGCAATCCGCATTTCCGCATCCCGCCGAGGCACTAACCGCGCCGCGATATCGCGGGTGCCACGGCAAGAAATATCTGGGCACAGTTCGAGTAGGGGATCGACTACAGAATTGATTTAACCCCAAGATTGAATCCTCCTGCCGAATCCACGTTTTCTGTTTTTGGACTCGACAAGAAGAGTCCATCTCTGATTTTCCCTGCCGAGTCCACGGTTTTTTTGTGGACTCGGTTGGAAAAGTCGACTGCGGGGTATACAGCTATTTGATGCGATGCGCTTCCGGGGGTCGCGCTGACCAGGTGTGCCTCTGACACCCCTTCCAGGCACTTCGCCCTCATGTCGAGGGTGCGGCAAACATGAAAAGCGCTGGGGGCGGGGTCGACAATCGTCTTCTGATGTCTGATCGCCCCGCCCTCCTCCTCTGGCTCGCGCGTCCTTCTTGCGAGCAGTGTGAACCTCACCACCCACCAAACCACCCCAACCCAACCCGAAGGCTCAGACTTACCTTCGATTTCTAGTGGGGGGGGGGGGGGGGGCAAAACATTGAGAAAACACGCGTGGAACCCGTACCCCCCCCACCCGAAATTCGGGTCTTCGGGTTGGGTTGGGGTGGTCTGGCAGGTGGTCAGAACCAGGTCTGCCGTCGATCCCCCCCCCTCCAGCAGTGGACGCGCGGCAGAGGAGAGGCACCGGCCCGCCCGCGGGTGCCCCACGCGTATAAGCTGCCCCCGGGTGGCCAACCCCGGGCACGGGTCGGACGACGGGGGGGATCGCTCAAGGAGGGGAGGAGGAGGAGGAGGGGGAGGAGGAGGAGGAGGAGGAGGAGGAGGAGGAGGCGGGAGGAGGAGGAGGAGGAGGGGAGGAGGAGGAGGAGGGGGAGGGAGGAGGAGAGGAGGGAGGAGGAGGAGGAGGAGAAGGAGGAGGAGGCAGTCGGCGGGAGTCGGGGGCAGCAAAGAGAGGGGGTGATGAATGGGGGGGGGGGGGGAGATCACGGCGGGGGCCATGGTATTTCCCCAGATTTCATGGCGCCTCTTCTTGTTTCATTACGCCCCTGGCCCCCCCCGCTGGGCCGCGCACATGCCGCCGGCCATGATTTGCACCCCCCCCTCTTGGACGCCCCCCTCTTGGCCGCTCCCGATCAAGGGAGGGCCAGGTACGACGTTCGAAGAAGATAAAACAGCATAAGCATGAATTTCTGGCGCTCCGCGCGGATTTCTCGGATCCGCGCTGGGCCCTCCCGGCGGCGCCTCCTGCGCCGCCCCTGTCGCGCTGCGCGCGCCAGGGGGGGGGCTCCAGCGCAGATCCAAGAGATTTCGCGCGGAGCGCCAAAGGTTTCATGCTTATGCCGTTTTTCCTTCTTCTAACAGTCTGCTCCGTGCAGCTGGTTTCGGCAGCGCCCGCCGGGCGCTCTCCACGATATACGTGATCGCCTTCGGCGCCGGCGCCGAGAAAGCCAGTTTTGTGAGTTGATTCGTGAACCAGCGCTTTGATCCCTCCCCTGTCGAATAGAGGATCGACTGCAGAATCGACTTACCCCAAACAATGATCTGCACGTCGGGCCTGCGAAACGTGCACAGAGGGCTCAGTAGATCTACGGAGCATTCGACGCGTGTTACGCTCAGTCGACGGACACATCAAGTGTGGGGTAGATCAATTCTGTAGTCGCGACCTTTTCGGCCGACCGACCGATAACTAGACAGGCTCCGACCGCGCCGCGCCATCGCTGGCGCCGCGACAGACAATGCCGGGGCGCGTTTCCAGATGTGATCGTTGTCTTATTCATTGTTTTGCCGATCAGCGCGGGCCCTCGCATCCCCCGTCCCCCCCCCCGCATGGAGTAGATCTTGGCTGTTTTTGGCGCCTGTTTCGAGCGGGTGGAACTTCCCGCGTAGGACGCGCCGCCACAAACAGTCGCATTAAGCAGAGGTCTGGAGCCAGACCCCCCCCCCTCCCCCCCTTTCCGCCCAATGCCGAAACGCCAAATGAGAAAACGCTCACTCGCTACAGTGGAAACCCGTGCCAAGAAACACCCTGCTCGCCTCCAGGGTGCCCCCCCTTGGTTTCTTGGAATTTTACGGTTTTGCGATGGAATGCGGGGCGTTCCCACACCAGAAGTCAAGGGACGTCCTGGGGTCTCAGGGTTGGGTTTCTTGTGCAAGGTTTCTTATGGTCGAGCTCCCACTCTACCTCGTTGGACTCTGTATCTGCCAGGAGAACGGGGGCCTCACCGCCTCGAACAAGCTGAACCGGAACCCGATCGTCATCACCTACGCCCCGCTCCTGGAGCACATGCGGAAGCAGGCCTCGGGGGCCATGTGAGCGGGGGATGGGCTCGGGGGGGCGGGGGAACGTTTCGGGTTCAGTGCTCAAGGCTTCCAGACGCCCTGAGTCATGATTTGCTCACAACGTCGACCCCAAGAGGTCTCGGCCCACCCACCCCCGGACCGATTTCTGATCCTGCGCCGTTTTCGACTGTCCCGAGGCCCGGTCAGGGCCTCCAGGGGCCGACATTGAGGAACAAAAACCTCGGGCGTGATTTTTTCATGACTCGAGAGGGGGTCTGGGTTTTCACACGTTTCCGTCAGCTCTCGGCGGTTTTTCGGCCTCGGGGTGCCCTCCAGCGGTTGCGCCTCGCCGAGAGCGTCCTCGGGGTGCCCGGATCGTCCCGAGCGGCCGCCAGAGGTCCGAGTCATGACCCGAGGTCTGGACGACGAGGATCATTGGGGGGGGGGGATGGGCTCAGGGGTGGGACGCATCGACCCCCCGTCGCTCATTGGGCCCGAAAATTCCCGAAAGAGTTCAGAAGTTGTCGGAAGGTTTCGAAGCCCAGGGTGGTTTCCAACAGCTGCGCCTCGTCGAGGGCGCTCTGGGGGTGCTGGAATCGTCCCGAACGGCCGCCGGAGAGCCGAGTTATGGCCCGAAAACCACGGGGCAACGGTAAGGAGCTTGGCATCGCATCGCTCGGACATGTGCATTTTTCCTTCGGCGAGGACCATCGAGGAGTATCCTCTATCATTTTTCGAAAAAGCCACGCACGAAACCGAAAAAAACACAGGGAATGGACGTCCGAGCGATGGCGAGGGAGGGGACGGGCCCACGGGGGGAACGCATCGATCTCTCCGATCTCCAACCGATCGCCGATAGGGGCTTGACAGCCCCAGCCCGCCCACGAACGTGCGGATTCGCTATCGTGTACCTTTGCCGATACGTCGGCGATGTGTCGCCGATCCCATGTCGGTGTGTCGTGCAAACTATACGCCGTCAACCCCAGCCAGTCAGTCAGTCATTTCCCTCATGCACGGAACGTCTGGACAGTCAGTCAGTCAGTCAAAACAGTCAGTCAGCCAGCCACGGGGCAACGCTAGGGAGGAGGAGGAGGAGAAGGAGGAGGAGGAGGAGGAGGAGGAGGAGGAGGAGGAGGAGGAGTAGGAGGAAGAGGAGCAGGGGGTAAGGAGCAGACTTTTCGCCGAGGACGAGGGAGGAGGAAGGAGGAGGAGGAGAGGAGGAGAGGAGGAGGAGGAGGAGGAGGAGGAGGAGGAGGAGGAGGAGGGGAGGAGGAGGAGGAGGAGGAGGAAGGAGAGAGGAGGAGGAGGAGGAGGGAGGAGGAGGAGGAGAGGAGAGGAGGAGGAGGAGGATGGGGGAAGAGAGGAGAAGAGGGGGGGACGCGTCGACCCCCGGCCGCCCACCAGATCGCCGACGGGGGGGGGGGGCGGCAGTCCCCACCCCGCCCAGGGTCGTGCGAGCCGCGCGGGCTCGCCCGTCGGCGGTGCGTCGCCGACCCGTCGGCGAGGCATCGCCGCTGCCAGGTCGGTTTTCCAAGTCGGGCCTGTCCCTCTACAGGGGGGAAAAGTTCCAGAGCAGTCCAACCATAGTCTGGGGACTGTTTCTGAGCATTTTCTGGCCATCCTGGTCCGTTTTCTAAGTCGGGCCTGTCCCTCTACAGTGGGGAAAGTTCCAGAGCAGTCCAAACATAGTCTGGGGACTATTTCTGAGCATTTTCTGGCCATCCTGGTCCGTTTTCTAAGTCGGGCCTGTCCCTCTACAGGGGGGAGAGTTCCAGAGCAGTCCAAACATAGCCTGGAGACTAAGTCTGAGCATTTTCTGGCCACCCTGGTCGGTTTTCTAAGTCGGGCCTGTCCCTCTACAGGGGGGAAAGTTCCAGAGCAGTCCAAACATAGTCAGGGGACTGTTTCTGAGCATTTTCTGGCCACCCTGGTCCGTTTTCTAAGTCGGGCCTGTCCCTCTACAGTGGGGAATGTTCCAGAGCAGTCCAAACATAACCTGGGGACTTGTTTTGAGCATTTTCTGGCCATCCTGGTCGGTTTTCTAAGTCGGGCCTGCCCCTCTACAGGGGGGAAAGTTCCAGAGCAGTCCAAACATAGTCTGGGGACTAGTTCTGAGCATTTTCTGGCCATCCTGGTCAGTTTTCTAAGTCGGGCCTGTCCCCCTACAGGGGGGAATGTTCCAGAGCAGTCCAAGCATAGCCTGGGGACTATTTCTGAGCATTTTCTGGCCACCCTGGTAGGTTTTCTAAGTCGGGCTTGTCCCTCTACAGGGGGGAAAGTCCCAGAGCAGTCCAAACATAGTCTGGGGACTATTTCTGCGCATTTTCTGGCCACCCTGGTAGGTTTTCTAAGTCGGGCCTGTCCCTCTACAGGGGGGAAAGTTCCAGAGCAGTCCAAACATAGTCTGGGGACTATGTCTCAGCATTTTCTGGCCATCCTGGTCAGTTTTCTAAGTCGGGCCTGTCCCTCTACAGGGGGGGGGAAGTTCCAGAGCAGTCCAAACATAGCCTGGGGACTATTTCTGAGCATTTTCTGGCCACCCTGGTCGGTTTTCTAAGTCGGGCCTGTCCCTCTACAGGGGGGAAAGTTCCAGAGCAGTCCAAACATAGTCTGGGGACTATTTCTGAGCATGTTCTGGCCATCCTGGTCAGTTTTCTAAGTCGGGCCTGTCCCTCTACAGGGGGGAAAGTTCCAGAGCAGTCCAAACATAGTCTGGGGACAATTTCTGAGCATTGTCTAGCCATCCTGGTCGGTTTTCTAAGTCGGGCCGGTCCTTCTACAGGGGGGAAAGTTCCAGAGCAGTCCAAACATAGCCTGGGTACTGTTTCTGAGCATGTTCGGGGCATCCTGGTCAGTTTTCTAAGTCGGGCCTGTCCCTCTACAGGGAGGAAAGTTCCAGAGCAGTCCAAACATAGTCTGGGGACTATTTCTGCGCATTTTCTGGCCATCCTGGTCAGTTTTCTAAGTCGGGCCTGTCCCTCCACAGGGGGGAAAGTTCCAGAGCAGTCCAAGCATAGTCTGGGGACTATTTCTGAGCATGTTCTGGCCATCCTGGTCTGTTTTCTAAGTCGGGCCTGTCCCTCTACAGGAGGGAAAGTCCCAGATCAGTCCAAACATAGTCTGGAGACTAAGTCTGAGCATTTTCTGGCCATCCTGGTCGGTTGTCTAAGTCGGGCCTGTCCCTCTACAGGGGGGAAAGTTCCAGAGCAGTCCAAACATAGTCTGGGGTCTATTTCTCAGCATTTTCTGGCCACCCTGGTCGGTGTCCTAAGTCGGGCATTTCCTTCTACAGGGGGGGAAGTTCCAGAGCAGTTTAAATATAGTCTGGGGACTATGTCTGAGCATGTTCTGGCCATCCTGGTCAGTTTTCTAAGTCGGGCATGTCCCTCTACAGGGGGGGAAGTTCCAGAGCAGTCCAAACATAGTCTGGGGACTATGTCTGAGCATTTTCTGGCCACCCTGGTCGGTTTTCTAAGTCGGGCCTGTCCCTCTACAGGGGGGAAAGTTCCAGAGCAGTCCAAACATAACTATAGCATCTGGGGTGTCTAAGTTGTCCCTCTGCCAGAGCAGTCCAAACATAGTCTGGGGACTATTTCTGCGCATTTTCTGGCCATCCTGATCGGTTTTCTAAGTCGGGCATGTCCTTCTACAGGGGGGAAAGTTCCAGAGCAGTCCAAACATAGTCTGGGGACTAGTTCTGAGCAGTTTCTGGCCATCCTGGTCGGTTTTCTAAGTCGGGCCTGTCCCTCTACAGGGGGGAAAGTTCCAGAGCAGTCCAAACATAGTCTGGGGACTATTTCTGAGCATTTTCTAGCCATCATGGTCGGTTTTCTAAGTCGGGCCTGTCCCTCTACAGGGGGGGAAGTTCCAGAGCAGTCCAAACATAGTTTGGGGACTATTTCTGAGCATTTTCTGGCCATCCTGGTCAGGTTTCTAAGTCGGGCCTGTCCCTCTACAGGGGGGAAAGTTCCAGAGCAGTCCAAACATAGTCTGGGTACTATTTCTGAGCATGTTCTGGCCATCCTGGTCAGTTTTCTAAGTCGGGCTTGTCCCTCTACAGGGGGGAACGTTCCAGAGCAGTCCAAACATAGTCTGGGGACTATTTCTGAGCATTTTCTGGCCATCCTGGTCCGTTTTCTAAGTCGGGCCTGTCCCTCTACAGGGGGGAAAGGTCCAGAGCAGTCCAAACATAGCCTGGGGACTATTTCTGAGCATTTTCTGGCCATCCTGGTCGGATTTCTAAGTCGGGCCTGTCCCTCTACAGGGGGGAAAGTTCCAGAGCAGTCCAAACATAGCCTGGGGACTATTTCTGAGCATTGTCTGGCCATCCTGGTCAGTTTTCTAAGTCGGGCCTGTCCCTCTACAGGGGGGGAAGTTCCAGAGCAGGCCAAACATAGTCTGGGTACTATTTCTGAGCATTTTCTGGCCATCCTGGTCGGTTTTCTAAGTCGGGCCTGCCCCTCTACAGGGGGGAAAGTTCCAGAGCAGTCCAACCATAGTCTGAGGACTATTTCTGAGCATGTTCTGGCCATCCTGGTCGGTTTTCTAAGTCGGGCCTGTCCCTCTACAGTGGGGAAAGTTCCAGAGCAGTCCAAACATAGTCTGGGGACTATTTCTGAACATATTCTGGCCATCCTGGTCAGTTTTCTAAGTCGGGCCTGTCCCTCTACAGGGGGGGAAGTTCCAGAGCAGTCCAAACATAGTCTGGGGACTATGTCTGAGCATTTTCTGGCCATCCTGATCGGTTTTCTAAGTCGGGCATGTCCTTCTACAGGGGGGAAAGTTCCAGAGCAGTCCAAACATAGTCTGGGGACTAGTTCTGAGCAGTTTCTGGCCATCCTGGTCAGTTTTCTAAGTCGGGCCTGTCCCTCTACAGGGGGGACAGTTCCAGAGCAGTCCAAACATAGTCTGGGGACTATTTCTGAGCATTTTCTGGCCATCCTGGTCGGTTTTCTAAGTCGGGCCTGTCCCTCTACAGGGGGGGAAGTTCCAGAGCAGTCCAAACATAGTCTGGGGACTATTTCTGAGCATTTTCTGGCCATCCTGGTCGGTTTTCTAAGTCGGGCCTGTCCCTCTACAGGGGGGAAAGTTCCAGAGCAGGCCAAACATAGTCTGGAGACTATTTCTGAGCATGTTCTGGCCATCCTGGTCGGTTGTCTAAGTCGGGCCTGTCCCTCTACAGGGGGGGAAGTTCCAGAGCAGTCCAAACATAGTCTGGGGACTATTTCTGAGCATTTTCTGGCCATCCTGGTCAGTTTTCTAAGTCGGGCCTGTCCCTCTACAGGGGGAAAGTTCCAGAGCAGTCCAAACATAGCCTGGGGACTATTTCTGAGCATTTTCTGGCCATCCTGGTCAGTTTTCTAAGTCGGGCCTGTCCCTCTACTGGGGGGAAAGTTCCAGAGCAGTCCAAACATAGCCTGGGAACTATTTCTGAGCATTTTCTGGCCATCCTGGTCGGTTTTCTAAGTCGGGCCTGTCCCTCTACAGGGGGGAAAGTTCCAGAGCAGTCCAAACATAGCCTGGGGACTATTTCTGAGCATTTTCTGGCCATCCTGGTCAGTTTTCTAAGTCGGGCCTGTCCCTCTACAGGGGGGAAAGTTCCAGAGCAGGCCAAACATAGTCTGGGGACTATTTCTGAGCATTTTCTGGCCATCCTGGTCAGTTTTCTAAGTCGGGCCTGTCCCTCTACAGGGGGGAAAGTTCCAGAGCAGTCCAAACATAGTCTGGGGACTATTTCTGAGCATCTTCTGGCCATCCTGGTCAGTTGAAGTCGGGCCTGTCCCTCCACAGGGGGAATATCCACAAGCAGTCCAAAAATAGTCTGGGGACTACGTTTGAGCATGTTTTGGCCATCCTAGCATATATGTGTGGGGTATGTGCTATTTTTTCGTCGAGAATCCCCCCTGCAGGGGGACACGCCGGACTGAAAGGTCAGCGCCTCCCCCCCTGAGCTGGTCCCCCGCTGGCGCTGCCCTGCAAGGCAATCCGGTGATGAGGCGGCGGGCCGCGTCGGATTTGCACACGATCCGCGGCGCCTGCATCAGCGAGGCTGCGCTCGCCCTCCCGCCTACCCCCTCCGAAGAGCCATCCCCCAAAAATCCGCGGGCACGATCTTTTCTTGGAGCCATCCGGGGGTCTCAGGTGGTGGCCTATAGGGCCTGGCATGGAATCTGGCCAGCAGGAAGGGCGGGCAGGTTCTGAGTTCGGCAAGGTTGTTGCCTTTCCGGCCTCGGGGGGCCGTTTTCGGGCCTCGGGGCCAGTGAAGACGGATCCGGGGTGAAAAGTTGCGCCATATTTACCCCGGTTGGAGTCCTGGGACTGATTTTGAGCCGATTTGGCTCCCCCCCCTCGCAAGGTCGCTATTTCACCACGCAAGGTCGCTATGCCATCTCGCGTAAGAGCCGTTTCTTCTCGTCGCTCCTGCGGCCGAAACCGAGGAAACATACCCGCATTGAAAAGATCGTATCGTCGTCGGGCGTCGCGAAATTCGAGTAGGGGATCGACTACAGAATTGATGTACCCCCAAATTCGCTTTCCCGCCGAATCTAGGACAAAGTACGTATAATGCTCCGTAGATCCACGAACATTCCAGGCGTTTCTTGTGCACTCGGCGGGGAAATCCATTGTTTAATTATATCAGCCAGCGTTGACTCCAAATCGATCCGACGATTCAAATCAAGGAATCAGAGGAACCGCAATCAAGGAATCAGACGTTTCGAATCAAGGAATCAGGGTCACTCAATCGAGCATGCTTGGAATCCGCAACTCAGCAAGCAGGCAAGCGTGCAAGCAAGCAAGCAAGCAGGTAAGCAAGCAAGACAGCAAGCGTGCAAGCAAGCAAACAAGCAAACAAGCAAGCAAGCAGGCAAGCAGAAGGGGGGGCATTGGAAAAAGGGGGGATAGGTATAGGCATAGGCATAGCCATATGAATTAGGGGAGCATAGGAATGAAGGGGGGCAACGGACCAATTAGTAGGGTCTGAGCTGGGACTCCTGCAGGGCAAGCCTATTAATAGAAAATCAAGTATGAAAATGACCCCTGGTTCGAGAAATGGTGGGGGAGATTGGGGGGCCAATGCGGGGGGGCGAAGAAAGGTGCACCTTGTGCGCCCTAAAACGCCATTTTAGAGGCCCCCCTCTTGGCCCTGAAGGGGTACGGAAAGTACAGGCCCCCTCCCCCCCGCCCCTATAGAATTGAGTGCCCCCAGAGGCCACGGCGTGCTCGCAACGTCGGCCCCGTGCAGAGCTCTCGACCCTTTCCCCGGGAGCGGCTTTTCCTCTTGTATTTTTCTGGACGGCCCAGAGGCCCCGTGGGGGCCCCCGGGAGCCGAACACACGGACACAACCAGCAGTCGTGATTCTCCACAACTCCAGGGGGTGTGGGGTTCCGGCCCCCCCTCATGACGCGCAACGTCCGATTTCGGAGGTCTGTAGAGCTCTCGCTGCCCGGGAAGGCAAGCTCGGCGGGTGCGGCAGGCGTCCGCGCACCGATTGGCCGTAAGAGTGATCTCTCGCCGGAGTGATTTCGGCGCGGGCTCACCAGGGGTTCCCCGATCGCCGAGCGCTCAGCGGAAGCAGCGGCCTGCGCGCCCGGGTTTGGCCGCCCCGCGTCCCCCGTGAATCTGGGCCTGCCAGATGGGGCCCGAGCAGGTGGGGTCGACGGATCTCGCCGCCACGCCGATGCATCGACGAGGCAGATCGGTGTGGGGTCCGACTTTCTCCACGCCGACGTCGCCGACGCATCGCCGATGCATCGCCGATGCGTCGTCGATGCGTCGTCGATGCGTCGTCGATGCGTCGTCGATGCACCGCCGATGCACCGTCGATGCAGCGCGATCCTCCGAACCCCTATCGACTCGGACCCCCTCTGGGAGGCCTCGTCAGAACCCAGGCGAAGGCTGGCAAACCCGTGGCAGCTTTCGGGAAGCAGCCCGTTTACAATTTAGAGCGCTGAGCTTCATTCTGGGCATCTGTTTTTCTCTGCAGGGAAGACCGTTTTGGCACCCACGGATTTGCCAGCCAGCCCTCGCCCAACCTTCCAACCTGGCGGAGTCGCGCACCATCAGTCCACGCTCGCCTGGGGGTCACCCCTTGCGCGAGGCCGAGCCACGAGAGCCGGGCCGCCATATACGGGCGGCGCCCGGGCCGGCCCGCCGGAGGGCGGCCCTGCCGCCGACGGAAGGGAGGCGCGCCGCCGCCCCGCGTCAGAGGCAACGACTCGAGGGGGCTCCGTCGGGCGTTGCCCTCTACAGGAGGAATCGTCAAGACTTTTGTCGTTATAGCCCAGGGACGAGTTTTCATGCTCTTTTTGTAATTTTTTGTGTATTGTTTGACATTTGTTTTTCAATTTTCCTCCAAAGTCCACCTGTGGGAGGACATGCCCGACCTCAGCTCAGTCGGACGGAGCTAAGACGAGGCTGAATCCGGTCCAGACGGTTCCAGAACTCTCTCAGAATGTTCTGGGACGCTCTGGGAAGGCCGCGGCGCCCGAGATCCACCAGAGCCGTCGGAGCTCAGAGATTCTCGATTGATCCTCACGTGATTGTATCTTCGATCTGGCTTCGTCTTACTCAGGGGGGGGACGCATCGACCCCTAATCGCCCAGCTCGAAAGTGTTCAAACAATTTCGAAAGGTTTCGAAGCCCATGATGATTTCCATCGGCTGCGCCTCCTCGATGGCGTTCCGGGGGTGCTGGAATCGTCCCGAAAGGCCGCCAGAGAGCCGAGTTCTGGCCCGAAAACCACAGTGCAACGTTAAGGAGGGGATGTGCCCACGGGGGGGACTTATCGATCTCCGATCTCCCACTGATCACTGATCGCCGATGGGGGCTTGATAGCCCCAGCTCGCCCACGAACGTGCGGATTCGCTATCGTGAACCTTTGCCGATACGTCGGCGATGTATCGCCGATTCCACGTCGGCGTGTCGTGCAAACTATACGCAGTCAGACAGCCAGCCAGTCAGTCAGTCATTTCCCTCATGCACGGAACGTCTGGACAGTCAGTCAGTCAGTCAAAACAGTGTGTCAAAAGGCACATGAGCAATATGGAGCATTTGCCGCGCCAGGCAGAATGAACGCACTGCTCGCTTCCAGTCTCGACCTGGGATTGTGCATACATTGTCGATTGAAGCTTGGACAATGGCACGTGAATCTCTTGCAGTGTTGCACATCTCCGCAGGCCACGTCTGTCGTGGTCGGCCTCTCTTGCGCTTGCCAGAGGGGGGAGAAGGTCGAGGGAGGAAGGTTCAAAAATAGCTGACCGCAGGGGGTGGTCATCACCTTTACAGGCAATATGGAAAAGTACGAGAGTTCCCGCTGCAGAGGAATACTGCTAAGTTTCATCCTGCGCGCGCGTGCCAGCACAACCGCATTCGACACTCGGCTGACGTAGGCACGCGGGATCCCGAGGACTTTCCGCTAGCACCTTGCTTAGAAGGCGTCGATGCGCGCCAGCTCGCCCCGCTTAAACCCTGCCGTGTGAAAGCTGTACAGCATTTTGATATGTACGCACGCCTCGTAGATGCATATTTTCTTATGCATGGGGGTGCTGCTGCGGTTCCAGACACGGTATAGCAGCTCGAATTTGGCCCGCTCTTGCCCAAGGCGCCAGCCCAGCTAAGCCTGCACCGTGCCGTCTGCGGAGAGCACGGACCCGAGGTACACAATGCTTGCCTTCTGAGGGATGGCAGCCCCGTCCGGCCTGCGAATAACAGCGTTGCATCCCACGGCCAAGATTTCGAGCTTCCCCCCAATTGGAGATGAGGCCGTAATTCGCGCCCGCCCTTGCCACTGCCTGCATGTACTGCTCAGCGTGTCCGGGCGCGCTCGCGGCGATCAGCGTGTCGTCCGCGTAGACCAACTCGTCCACCCGCCCTGCCAGGTCGCCGAGGCTGTTCTTCGCGTCGTGCAGGAGCACCGTCATGACCATCCCGAAGAGAACAGGCGATAACGGGCATCCCTGGCAAATGCCCGCTCCCTGCCACTCGCGACGCCGAGGTCTGCCCGCAATCCGTCACCGCGAAGTTCCTGACAGAGTAGATGGCGCGCACGGCGGCCACCACCTCTCGCGGCAGGCCGAACAGGCGCAGCGCTTCGAGGAGAGCATAAGGCATCCCGCTGTCGAGCGCCTTGGCCCAGTCCAGCGCGAGCAGCACCAGCGGGGGACCCCTGCAACGCGCAGGACTCCTCCAAGAGGCGCCTCGCCAAGAATATAGCGTCTGCCGTCCCGTGTTCAGACTTGAAGCCAAACGGCGTCTGCCAGATCCTGGCCTCCGCGCCGGCGCCCTTCGACCAGCGCAGGATGATCGTGGCGTACATCTTATATCCGGCTTGCAGCTGACAGAAAGGCTGGCAGTTTGATTGATCACTGAGACACGTCCCCCCTTTTGGGTTACCGCAGTTACGAGAGCTTCGTGCCAGGCGTCTGGGACGCCACCGTCTCTCCAGCACTTCCCGCCATGACGCTGGCGCCCGTTCCCTCCCCGGACCAGCGTGCATGCAGATCGCCTTCCACAGTATCCCGTGGACGCCATCATGGCCGCAAGCCTTACCACATCGCATGCGCCGTGCTGCATCGATGACCTCCGCACCTGTGATGCCACCCGTCTTGACCTCTAGCTCCAGGCCAATCGGGGCAGGCGCCGTCGGCGTCGTTTCACGTGGAGCTCACTGAAGTTCGCACAGGTAATCGACCATCGGACCTGGTCCCAGTCGCCCGTCTCAGGCACATTGTTGAGCCAGACCGACCTGTCGTTTTTGACCGACCGCCTCAGCTGCAGATGCAGACGATGCTCCTCGTCTATCCGCCCAGGGCGCCGGGCGTCGGTTCTCTGTTCGATCAGCGACAGGGTGCGGGGCGAGATCCAGGGCCTCTTGGGCGAGGCCGTGTTTTCCCGAATGACTGCAGCAGCCGAAGGGCGAAAAGCTGACCGCACAGTCGCTTCTAACTCGCTTGCCGTCCAATCAGCGGTCAAGTCCAGAAAGTCAAGAAGTT